TTGTATCTTTGCAAGCCTTTAAGTCATTTGTACTGAAATGTTTCATCATGATACGCACCTTGGGAGTAACTTTTGATTAAAGTTTTAGTCAACGTGATTTAAGTCAACTGTAAAAAATGTTGCTAGAGAATTTCTGAGAACTTTTTTGAACAGTTCTAAAATTTCTATACTTTGAAACAGAGGTGCAATCAGTAATCTGTCTTTACCAAGCCTGTATAATCTCTCCATATTTGGCTATACCTACAGAGTGATTCAGCATTTTCTTTCGTAGTGTTATGCTGCTCAGGTAATCTTTTTCTGTAATAGCGCTTCTCAGATGCTCTGATTTGCACACTAGTGCAGGGAGAAAGATGGCTGTTTCTCCTGCTGTAAATGGTGTTCTGGGTAGCATCCACTGAGCATGGAGGAGGAAGCTGTCTGACTCCACCAAAGGGAGAAAAGCCAGGCCAGCAGAGCGAGAGGATTAGAAAGGGACAAAGGGTCTGGTGAGGCTGGGACTAGAGGGAATATTGGGCTTAGAAGCAAGTGAGGAAACTGGGGGGGAGACTAAAAGTCGTAACTCTTTCAGGTATGATTTACAGGAGTTTAGTATACGGTGGATCCAGAGGAAGTAAATACTTTCCTGTTGTCTGAGAAGACGACCCAGAACCAAAAGTAGCACATAGTGAAGGAAGGGAGAAATACAGACGTTAAAGTCATTTAAGGTTTTCATTTTTACATGAAGGTAGACCTGTATTTAGTTGTTGGCTGCTAATTTAACGTGAGCAGCGTAATTTTCCAAGAACAGCTAAAATCCATGAAGTAGAAAATGTAAAGTTTAAAATTTGGTAAGACAGTTTTAAGCTTTACTTAGAGAATCAGTCAGAAACTGTTCATTTTAGTGCAAGGATATCTTGTCAATTTGGAGAAAGCTGTCAGATATGTTAGCTCTTGCATATCTGCCCATTTAGGAGACTTTAGGGTAAAGCAATTTTTATAATAGCTTCGGTTTTTATTTACCCAAAGGATACACATGGAACTTTTTGATTAAGAAAATACTGTACTCCTGAGAGAAGGCTGTAATTTGTTAGCAGTTTTTCTCACAGTTAGGAAAAAGAACTACTTCAATGTTATGTCTTTTAATATTAGAAATCGTACTAACACAGTGATTTAAGATGGAATAACATTTACAGACACAAACATATATATGTTTGAAGGTATCTGGCAAATACAGTTGAAGAAGACGATGAAGAATCAAAGTATGACATTTTCCCATGGGCTTTGGGAAAGGCCTGGAGAAAACTCTTCCCTGATTTCTTAAAGTTAAGAGATCAACTATGGAGTAGAATTGACTACAGGGCTGTTGTAAGCAGGCGCTGCTGTGAAGAGGTAGGGAGGGTTTTAATATTGTAGATGCTGAAACGACAACAATTAATACCAGCTACCAATCTAGCTCTACACAAATAACTCCTTCCCTAAAGTGCGTAGACAAGCCGTGGGAAAGAAAAGATGCAGTTAAATGTAACGGTCCACTTATCCTCCATCATTTTTTTCTTCTTCTGCATTTAACATACATTCTTTGAAACTGTAATTTTAAGGTAAACTAGAATATTTTACATTGCACTACTGTTAAAAGTGAAGTTTTTATTGACTAGAATCTTTCTGCTTTATGCAAATATTTTTATTTAAAATTTACCATCGGTTGTTT